TTTTTTCCCCTAGAAACTCCCTTGAGAACTACACATGGTCCATCACAGAATGCACAAATCATCCCAAGACCACCACATTGGTTGCTACAGCTGCGAATGCTGATTTGCCAATTTCAAATGGGGCGCAGAACAATGAACTCAATGATGATGGTAATGATGGCGACATTGAAACACAAATTGTCACACCGTTGTTGACCGATGAGTCAACAACGTTGGTGTATGTTCCAACGCAAGCTTCCGAGTCCACATCGTATATACCGTGGACTGATAATATCACGGGGCAATACAAACTCATCGACGACATTTGGATGGCGATGGAAGACGATGGACTTATCTTTTAAAAAAGTATATCAATGTAGTTAAGCATTTGCACTATAAAAAGTCATTTATTTCATTTAGAGAACTAATTTATAAAAAAAAACATACTTTTCGTAATGGATATAATTTTTCTAATGAAATTTTTTCATAACAACTCATAAATTTCTATACGGTTCTTCTGAAATTCTTTGTCTCGGTTGAAAAACAATTGTTAGAAGTAATGAACATAATTTGACCAAAAATAAGGGAATGAAATAATTGTACGAACTCATTTGCTCTTATGAAATTGAATAACAAAATATATCTTTTGCTTGTTCCAAATAGTTAAAGTAATGAAAATAATTTGAGCAAAAATAAGGTAATGAAATAATTGTACTAACTCATTTGCTCTTATGCAATTGAATAACAAAATATATATCTTTTGTTTGTTTCAAATAGTTTTTAAGGTCAGTGTAGTATCTGTAAATGAAATCCACAAGTTTCATAAATGCATAAAACAAAATCTAAGTTGCATATATTTGTTAAAACAATCTGCAAGCTTTATAATTTTATAAAACCCAAAAAAAAGGCACATGTTTTTGAGTTACAAAACTCGAAATAGAGAAGAGAATCGGATGAAACTAATTCAACATATCACTAAGTTCGCCATTCTCATACATTGAGGTCAATATATCACAACCTCCTAAAAGTTCTCCTTTCACAAATACCTGTGGAAACGTTGGCCAATTGCTGTAATTCTTCAGCTTCTCCCTTAGACCGTGATTATACTCATCGTCAAGCACATCTACTGTTTCATAGTCCACTCCTTGGCTTTCAAGAATCCCTACCACTCTCTGTGAGAATCCACATAAAGGTGCACTTCTTGATCCCTTAATGAAAGCTACCACTTTGTTCTCTTTCACTAACCGGTCAATCAGTTCCTCTAAGGGAACTGTGAGCTCGACATGGCGACCTGGAGTGAGACGGATATCAGATTTCTTCCTCGGATTCTGTTTGACAAATGTGTTGTTCCCTGACTTATTCCCCGGCGGGACTTTTCCTGTTACTTTTATGTGTTCTTCTATCCATGATTTCCACGCTTGTGTTAGGACCGCTTTGTCCGGTTCTTCTACTATACCAACCTAGCAACCAATCACAAAACATTTAAAACAAAATGTCAGTTACGAAACTTGTTAATATCATCTAAACACGCAAAATGAAGAAACAAGGTCTCCAAATTCGTTGTTGGTCATCAAGTCCATGGAGCTAATAAACACCAAAAGGACGCTCACAGTTTCTATTTTCCATGTAAATATGTAATGTCAACCAAAATTCTAAAGAGCTATATTAGATGGATTCAACTGCTGCAAGTTGATAGACTTAAGGATCATGAACACACACAAAAACAAAAAAACTAAAGCCTCTTCTCATTAATAGAAAGAACTAAACAGAGAATGGGAATCAAAACACCAAAGAGAACAAATTCTCTCTAGCAGATAAACCCTCGACAAAACCGATATAAATAAAGCTTAAAGCTTTTCTCTCATCTGAAAACCAGTTAACCTCTCAAGTATCTTCTACTAACCTGGGATGAATCTCGCCAACGAATTCGATCCTGTATCTACAATAAAACTCCCCAAAACAACTAATGAGAAGACCAAGTCCTAACATAACACACAGTCACAATCTTCGATCTGTATCTTTCTTTTCCACATACAAATAATCCAAGGCTTGGAATAAGCACAAGATTTTCTTTATTCGTCACAGTAATGTATAACAAAGAACACTTGATGCATCTCCTAATCATACTCAATGACTAACTTGCTAGTATCGCATCTACTAGTTTAAGAACAACCACGAAATAGTGAGTCCTCTCGTTAGTATCTATCTTCAAACCAAATTTCTTCAACAGAATTGCTACTCTATAGAGGTTTCGGATTCATCAATATTCACAAATTTCTCAACAAAAGCCAGGAATCCGGAAAAACGAGAATCGGGAATTAAAGTTACCTTAACTGAGCCACAGAGCTCCGGCACGGATTTCACATGCGCAGAGACACTCGCAGCGATGTTCCGAGAAATTCCGACGAACTGAAGCTCTTCGCTCTTATCATAGACAGCATAGACGCCGGAATCCGCCGGAATCGATTCAGACTCGGAAATCGGAAGCAGCTCCGTCTCCGTCAGAGACTTAACGGCGGAGACGATTAAGAGGGAAGGTCGACGAGACCGGACTGTGTCACAGAGTTTGAAGGAGAGAGAGGGGAAGGAGAAAGATGGTGGTGTGAAGCGTGAATAGAGAGTAAGGTTAGGGGTATTTTGGGGAATATGTGGACGAAAAACACGGAGAGAAGAAACTGAGGCAAGGGAAGAGGAAAAGCTGATTGCAGCCATTTCTGTCGGAGCTACGACTACGAGTTTATCAGTTGGGAATTATAAGAGCTGATGATTTCTTTTTAACATTTTGACGGATATTCTTATGGGCCTAGATTGGGCTGAT